AATAATAAATAATAAATAATTATATATAATTTTTATATAAATTATTATTAAGTTATGTAATAATAATAAAATTATGTTTATATGCAAAAATAAATTTATTTTTTTAAGTAAATTATATATATATATATGTATATATTTCAATATTAATATTTCACATTTAAAATAGAAAACCATTTATGTAATTGAATAAGATTCATTATTTTTATTAAAAATGTTATTAATATATATTATAAATATTTATTTATTTAAAATAAATATATTATATACTAAATTTTATGATAATTATAAAATTATATACTACTATTTTTCTATTAATCACTTTATTAAAAAAATTAGTAAGAGCATACATCTTCTACACTATAGTGCTTCTATAGCATACTGCTACTATTTTATTATCAGATGTAATAATCGAGGCCTAAAAGCTTTACATGCTTGTTAACTTTTTTGATTCTTTCTACCTTGGCCGCCTCCGTTTCTAGGATTCTTAAAACATAAAAATGGCTAATTTATAGGAAAGAGAAGAACATATTGGCATTTAACAAGCTTGCATAATAGTACACATTTATTCCGTTAAGTAATAATTAATCATGTTCATAATACCTTCTGCATTACACTTAATATATACTATATCTAAACGGAGAAACCATTCATCTCTGATTCTCTCATTAATCTTTTTCCAGTCAAATATTATCACATCTTCTCGAAAATGACTTCAGCTTTTGCTTAGGTTGCTAAAGTCGTTGCATGCGTCTCAACTTTTGATTCTCTTTACTTTGGTCGAACTGCTCAGTTTATGATTGTTTGTCGCCTCCGTTTATGGGATTCTCAAAATATAAAAAAATGGTAAATTTATGAGAATTAGAGAAGATTGAGAAGAATCTTTGATATTTAACAAGACTGCATAATGTTTGCGGATATATAGAACTTTTGAAAACTTTATTAACTAATACAAAAGACTTCACACGCTATATCGATCCAGCTTATATGTCAAACATCAAAGATATAATAAAACTATATAATACATCAATTATATCTCCGAAACCGCGTTTACGCGGGAACTATATTATAATGGTTGAGTTTCAAGACTCATGTAGGATCGGCGTGTTATTCCATCTGGTCAACCACGTTATCAATGTGTTTTGATTTGGTATAATTATGTGTGGGCTGGTATGAGTTTGTAATTTAAATTAGAAGCCTATTCTAAAGCATTTAGCCAAAGATAACAAGACTTTGCGTTTAGGCTTAGGTCATGAGGCGTCTTTTCTGTTATTGAACTCTTCCGTCGACTATTGAACTTCAGTGTGTCATCCATTGTTTGAGAAAAACCAGACATTCCCCTTCATCTTTTACCTCCCCTGTCTCTTCAACGTTTTGATTTCACATGTTTAATGAATCTGTTGTTCTCATTAAACCTATTCACTCCGACGACTCTCCGTCTTCTTTTATTTACGATCCAAACTTTATTCGTTTTAAAATCAGAAAAAAAACAATTTAAACTTCTATAAATAAAAAGGGTTTGTTAGTCTAATCCACACACACCAACACCCTCTATTCTTCCATCTATTTGTCAAAAGCCAGATGTCTCCTTCGAGAATGTCTTACTCTCTGTTACTAGGCCTACAGTTTACATTTTTACACAAGTGGCAAACAAAGGTGAAGAAGCAGCTGCATCTGCCAGTAACACTGCAGCAACAAGAGATGATGAACCAAATCCTGCCGGTTTTGAAGCAGAAGAGAATAGCTGCTAATGCACGCGTGAATGATAGTTTCAATTTGTTTGTTCTGTATTTTTAGAGTTGCTATGATTTTGAATCCATTATATATGATTTTTAACTTTGGTTTTTGTCTTTAATTTCCGGCAAACTCTCTCCTATGAAGAGGACAATTACTAAGTTTTTATTTAAAAAATGTAGTGTTAATTGCATTTTGCATATTGATAATGTCCACGATTAAAAGCATCAATCACTACACGTTACATGGTAACATGCATTCCTATAAAAATATAGCTCATGTTAAAATTGCATAAATGTCCGCTCTATAGCCATGCACTCAGACTGAGAACATAAAGCTTTTGATTTTGTTTCTTTTCTCTTTAAAAAAGAACTTTCAATGTTTAGATGAAAAAAATGCAAACAATCTAAATAGTCATAAACTACGGTTAAAACAACATTTTAATACCATAATATATACATATATACCCAAGTCCAATAAAACAAATAAAATATAAACCATAAAATAATCCATCCATATATCAACAAACATTCATTTACAAAACCTGACCATAAAATTTTATCAGTCAATAAATAATTTAATCCATTTCACAGTCTCAAAAAAAAATTTTCTCAACACATGAGTCACTCTTCATAGATAAAAACAACACAATACTAATGGTAATAACCCCGCGTGGGGTGGACAATCCCTAGTTTGTTCAAATGAAAGCTTGTATTTTTGCATTAGTATCCTATAATAATTATTTCCTCTATTTCACATTAAATGTCACAATAGATCATTTTTTTTACAAAATAAATGTAGTTTCTAATTTTCAATACAAAACTTATTAATTTTATTATGCAATTTTTTTTTCTATTGATTAAATATGGTTAAATATATAGATAATTACGTTTTATACAGAATAAAGTTAATTGTTTTGTTGTGCAGAAAATTAACTCACACTTATAATGAAAAAGGGGAATTCGACAAAAAAAACACGAACTTTACACGAATTGTCAAAACAAACATGGACTTTTGGGCTGACCAAAAAAACATCAACTTTTCTTTGACTTTAGAATTAATTAACAATTTTTTTATTGACTTGCCAATTTAGCACGCCTTCACTAAATTTAACAGAAAAATTTGACGTCGTTTTCATATGAGATGAAACGACGTCGTTTTACATGAGTTGAAAATAAACAAAAGTAGACGCCCAGATTCAAACCCGGGTTGACTAGATCAAATAGCAAGGTATTTTACCGATAGGCTAATGTCACTATCAATGGATTTACTAACATATTTAATTTTATTTGGTATTGATTGAATATAAAAAAATTCTCTAAGAAACATATAAAGATCTTTAAAATTCCAAAAAAAAATTCAAATAAAGAATTTTTTTATAAAATTAATTTTGAAATTAAAATTATTTTTTTTATTTGTTCTTTAAAAAAATCAAAAGTCTTCCAAAATTTACATTTAAATACAAATTGCTAAAATTGAAATTAATTATATACACAAAAAGATACCCACATATTAAAATTAAATTAAAATGATTAAAAAAAGTATTTTATCCATTATCAGTGTGATTTTAATTTTTAGCTGATAATTGTAACTTATTTGTTTTTGCATTTTCTTTGAATTTTTCAATTTTTTTCAATTTAAAAAAATGAAAATTTTGGAAGATTTTTTACCTTTTATAGAAAAACAAAATTTTATTTTTACTTTTAGTATCAAAATTAATTTTATAAATAAATTCTTTATTTTCAACTTTTTGGAATTTTTTAAAAAATGAAAATTTTGGAAGATTTTTGACTTTTTAAAGAATTAAAAAAAAAATATTTTTAATTTTAGTTTCAAAACTAATTTTTTAAACAATTTTTTTTTTTAATTGTTTGGAATTTTAAAGATCTTTTTATGTTTTTTTGAGAATTTTTTTATATTTAATCAATACCAAATAAAATTAAATGTGTTAGTAAATCTATTAAAAATGCCATTAGCCTATCGGTAAAATACTTTGCTATTTGACCTAGTCAACCCGGGTTCTCATCTGGGCATCTAATTTTGTTTATTTTCAAATCATGTAAAACTATATCGTTTTTCTTAATGCTAATATATAACACTGCGGGTTCACCGTATGTTAATATGGTTAGTCAATCTTATGTTACTTAATAAACTAATAAAGTTAATAAAAGTACAAGTTTTTTTTGCCAGGCTCGAATATATGTTTGTTTTGGGAATTCATGCAAAATTAGTGATTTTTTGTCGAATTCTCAATGAAAAAGAGGAAATGTTATTAATTTAACATTTTTCTATAAAAATCCGGCCGCATGTGTGAATTCACATTCGTCCGTACTGTGGCCCGAACTATCTAGGGGAAGTGATAATTGTTGTTCGCTAATCTTCTTCAGGTTATTCTCTATACTTGCTGTTTATATCCAGATTCTACGCAATGAGTTTTTCTATATTTCTTTCACAGAAAAAAATGAGTTTTTCTATAGGAAACTCGATCATGATCTGTCACTTTTTTTTTTTACAAGTTTGATTAATAAAATAGCTGTTGTAAAAAAAAAAAAAATCTGTCACTTTTTATTCTGGCCAGAACACTCTCAACAGGCAACTTACTTTCCTGGGATTAAGCTTCAGGTTTACAGAGGTTTCTTGGCTTCGACTCAATTCTGATAACGCAAACAATAACTCCAGTTAATCATTTCTACTGTTCTGTCACTCAGCTGGTAAACAACATGTAAAGCTTGGACAAACTATGAGGTTGCCGGATCAAACCCTTTCTCAACAACCTCTGAGGCACGCCTAACTCTCTCAAAGCCGTTGCATTACGGATCTTATTTGCAAGATTACCCTGTGGCAAATAAGAATGACATAACACTTGACACTTATCATAAGCTTCTATAATATCTCTAACGAAGTCATAGTACAGACTGATTTGTCGCCTCTTTTACACAAGAATTTAGGAACTGTGGAGACAATCTCTGTGAACTCAGAGGTTGAAGCTCCTTTCTCTCTCTGATCTCTTTATACCCTGCAGGAGATGAATAGACTAAGGACAGCTCACCAACTGCTTCGCTGTTCATAAACAGTGAGAAATCAGAAGATTCATCAATGAAATTGTTCACTGTTCCATGCAATCAGTGAGTGAAACACTATCTCTAGCCTGAGATATCCAATAACTCAGGCAAAAGCGGTTTGTCATATAATTGTTTACGAAAGCTTGATTGTTATGGCAAACACGGACGACAATAGATAAACTCATATGTTTCTTATCATATAAAAGATGCACTTGCTCTGAATCCTAAAGTCAGCAACAAAAGATCAACAACTGAATCTAAAACTGACAAAGAAAAAACACAAACAACCATTTGAAGTTACCCATTAAGTTGAGACACGACCTCTACTGAAGATAGCCATCAACTCAGACACAAGCTGCTTATCATCATAATGCGTCACCACATACTTGTTTAAGAAGGCCTCATCCATACATATCAAGACAGAATGTATACAAGGGAGTTCACTTCCCATCAATCCCTTAGACATGAGAGCTTTAATTACATTACACCTTGGTACCATCCTCTTCTCCATACTCAGTCCAAGTACTGAAGGGTTTGAAACCACAGCCTTTAGCGGCCAATTCATCTCCTTCTTCACCAAAAACTCAACCTTCTTCTTCACCATCTCAACAGATAATCCAAGGCACTGAGGAAAGCGCTTGACAATCATCACAAACTCATCTCTGCTGAAGCCTAGCTCTAGAAATGTGTCAATAGAGTCAGCTATATTCTTCTCCGAGTATCCCAGGAAGATTGGCCACTTGTGGAAAATTGTCCATACATCCTCCACAGCAAAGCCTAGCCTGTTGTAGACTTCAACTCTTGCTTTTATTGTTGTGTCGCTCAATGCATAAAGCATGCGCAGAGCTTCCACAAACCTAAGGGTTGTGGTGGTGGGATCAAAACCCATCTCGAGGACCTTCTTGAGTGACTCTTCAAACTTGTCTTTCCCACATACAACCTGGACATGGGATGTTAGCAATGAGAACAAGAGCTTCTGAGGCATGCCCAGTTCTCTCAAGACTGATATGTTCCTTATCTTGTTCTCCTGTCTTGTACCCCGTGGCAAAGAAGAGGGACACAATTTTTCCAAATTGGAACTCTTGTCGGCTTGTACAATCACTTTGACAAAATCATAGTATCTGCTCAAAGTTTTGTCCTTTTTGATTCTCAAGATTCTTGGGACTTTTGAGAGAATCTCAGTGAGCTCAGAGGTTGAAGCTCCTCTTGACTTTAAAAACTTAAGCTTGGGACCAAGACAAGTCTCAGCATCTGCTGTAAGCAAACGTGGATGATATGTAATGACGGTGGAGATCTGAGAATCTGTGAAGCCATGGCTTCTAAAGAGATTCAGAACTGAATCAATGCTACCCTTGTCGTTGAAGCTGACTTTACTAGAGATGGATTCTGCGAGTTTTGTGGTGAAACCCAGAGTTTCAACCAGGTAAGTAGAGACTGTAAAGTTCTGAACTTGAAGGGTCGCACTTGCAGAGGAAAAAGGAGACGCATTTTGCACTGAGAATCCTAAATTAGGCCATTTCTGCAAGTCGAAGAAGAACCTTCTTCTTCCATGGAGTATCAGAGAAGAAGACATGATGACAAGTCGAAGAACCTTCCAAAAACTTGGAGAAATAACGAAACGCCCAGAATTTGATAAAACGAGGACAAAAGAAATTTGATGACTGTTCGATTTTCCAAATTACTACTCAACACTTGCAAAACCAAAGATCACAGAAAAGCTAAAATATGGTTTGTTGCTGTTGGGCTTCGCTAATACCCGACCCAAAACGAAATGAAAACAAAAATTGAACCGAATCAAAAGATATCAAAGTGAACCGAACCATAACCTGTTTATATATTTCTCTGTATCGAAACTATGGCTATGAATGGCATCCAGAATAAATGCAGATAAAATGCAGATTATTCAAATGCAGATGAAACTGCATTTTTTTGTCCATTCATGTTTTTAGATGCAGAACCAAAAAAATGAATAAATATATATTCATCTGCATGCAGATTAGTTTTGCCTTGAAAATATCTGTCCTCCATGTATGAGAGAAAAAGGAGCTGGCCGTAGGACAGATCTCCAATCCAGTGCTTTGTCTTTTTTTAATATAAATTCTTTATCATTTCCTTACTTTAAACTAAACTTCTTTTAAAAATATATTCTCTTGAAATTCTCTTAAACTGTTTAATTTTTTATATGTTATATTCTATAATATCTTCATAGGCAATTATATATAATCAGTTACATATTTATAATATTTATATATTAGTTATTTGGCTGTTATTTTATAAATATAAAATCTATAACTTTACAAAATGATCACATAAAATATTGAAAAACTGTAAAAACATATTCATTATATTTTATTTTATTGCTGATGATATTTAACATAAATACAATAATAATAGTTGGGTACATAAGTTAAATTTTATATTATAATTTTTTAATAAACCAGTTAATGAATCCATGCATATTACTAATAACTCATATAGTCATATATTGATTGCACATATTTAAAATTTTAAATAGTTATTTTAATTATTATTTAATATGTTTAGATAAGAGAAATTCCATTGGATATCTTTTTAGTTTATTTTCACAAAAATAACACTCAAAGAAGAAAATTATCAAAATAAGTTTTTTATTAAAAGGTAAATATGTATTTATACCAATGAGTTAATTAATTTATATTTAGTATTTAGAGTTAAGGGGTGAGGTTTTAGGGTCTGGGTATCAAATTTAAAAAAAAAATAAAAAAAAATATTACAAAATTCAAAATAAACAAACGTTATTTTGGTTATTTTATTTTTGAGAGCTATTTTTGTGAGAATTTTTTTTAAAAAAGTAACTAAATGAAAGATATGTTTTAGGTAGTTTCTTTAATGAATTATGTTTAAATTTCATTTTATTTTTAATTAATAAAATTTCTTATTTAAACCTCATTTTATTTTTAATTAATAATATTTCTTATAATAGCTTATTTTATTTTATAGATATCATTTAAATTTTATTTGTATTTATTAAAATAAAAAAATTATTTTTATATATAAGAATTTGTAGTACTCGGTCGATCAGATTCAATAATTCGGTAAATTAATTTATCCAGTTAGATCTGCATTTGATCTGCATAATCTGCGTGATCTGCATTTGTTCTGCTTGATCTGCATTATGTGTTGATCTGCATATTTTGAACTGCATCACCCATTCGAAGCCTATAGAGCCAGTGTTTTGAAACCCGACCCGGACCCGCGGTTGAACCAGTAAACCCGGTGACCCAAAATAAATCCGGTTCTGGTTTTGTTAAAAACCCAAAATTTAAAAACCCTCAAAAACCCGGAAAAACCAACTAAACCCCAAAACCCGATGCCGGTTGAACCAGTGGTTAAACCAATAAATAAACTTTTACTTTTTTTTTAATTTAAAATTATATTTTTATTCCATTTTAAATTCTAAATTCTAATTTAAAAGTTATGTTTTCACGTTTTAGTTATTGGCATTACCGTCTTCTTCTTTAAACTTTGATTTAACTTTCTAACTTTTTATAATACATAATACCTACTACACTACTTTATGTGTGATTTTTAAATTTTGATGAAGATTTCACTATACCACCTGAAGAAAATGAACTAAATGGTGGTAGCGAGAACCAAAATTAGTTGATGTAATTTGGTGTTAGTTTATTTATGTTATTGATAATTTTTTACAATGATGTTTTACTTTTGGTTTATTTTGTATTTGAAGTTTAATTTATTATTCTCGTTAGACACTTAAATATTTATGAATTTTATATCTTAATTTTTTAGATGTCATTACTTTTAACTTATTAGAAAAAAAATTAAATAGTATAAACTAGTTTTGATATCTTGTATATTTATATATTTTATGCTTTAAAACATTTAGAAAATATTTAACTTTAATTTTTATATTTTTATTTTCATAGCTAATATATTATTATATAATAAAATTTTATTTATTAACCCGTGGTTCACCCGCGGTCGACCCAGTGACCCAATGACTCGGTAAGTCGTCCGGTTCAGTGTCCGGGTCGGGTTTAAAAACACTGTATAGAGCGTATCTTCAGCTATATATTGTCGATATGAATTAATATAGGCTTTGAATGGTGTCTAAGGAATAAGGAGGAATATTCAATTTTTTATCATTTCTGAAAAAAAATTACCATTCACAAGAAATGTTTTTTCTCTCTTATTCTTTTTCATTTTTTTTTGTTGTAGAGGAACAAAGAACAAAATTATTCTCTGAGCATTTTGGAAAGGAATAATCATTCTTTTTTATTCATGCAATTTTGTTCTTATACATTTTTTTTCGAGTCATTTCTTTTGTTCCCAGTAAAATTACCTGTCCGAGCCTAACTCTTTAAGGAGTACTGTTACATTTAAATAGACACTGTCTCTTAGTAAAAGTATCTTGGTCAAAATATCTTTCACATTTTCGCTTGTCTAGCAGTTCATTACAATGATGATTATAAGTTCGAAGAGTTTATAGAGAATTAGCTATTTTGGAGACGATATAGAAACTTTTGGCATCTAAGACAACAAGGAGAATCTCACATTTTCGCGGTTATCATTGATGACAGAAAACGATAATCAATTCCTTATGATTTTGAAAATGGACTAGTCAAATGTGACGAGTTTAGTGCATGTTGGGCAAAGCTAAGTTGTAATACATTCTAAGTTGTATCCACTTTGTAACCGGATCTGATTTTCCCGTCACAGGTTGAATAAAATTTAAGTAGAGAAGTAATTAAGATTTGCAATCTGGAAACAAAGATATCAGTTTTATTCTTATCATCGTCATCATCATAGGGAGACTGTTTTGACAATTCACAATAACCAATATCTACAGGAAAACAAGACACGGACTTGCATCCTTTCTTACTCACTTAGCACAAACCTAAACTAGACCAAACACAAGACTCTTATCACTTTCACTCTCACGTGCACAATCATACTCTAGACGTGAACAACCTTAAGACTCGAAGTAAACTGAAGACATTATTAACTCCTCTCAGGCAGGTAACTTGAGCCAGAGCCACCCTCTCTAGAAGCCAACATCGCCATTATCAAACTTCCACCATGGACTCTTCCTTCTGAGGCCAACCCCAATCCTACTTCATACTCGTTGAGATCAACATCAGTCTCTGGAGATCCACCAGCACTTCTCGCTTTCATCCTGTCGATGTGCATGTCTTGAGAACCACTAAACTCTTCCTCGTTTTCTGTTTCACTGCTGCTATGTCTCGGTTCTTGGCTCATTCCTCCATGAACCCGGTTATCCTGAACCAGACTGTTATGGAGTGCACAAAGACCAGTCTTACCTCTAGCAAACGAGGTACAAGGACCAGAAGAAGATTGTCCTCCCGCATACTCAGTCTCAGGATGACCCCACGCACAACGTTTCCCTCCTCCATGCGCCTTGCAAAAGTCTGTACTACCTTGCGCGCTTTTCCCACATCCATCAGACTTGCATCTCTTTCCTCCACCGTGCCTTACACAGAAATCAGTTCTTCCTCTAGCGCTCTTTGTGCATTCAGGAACCGCACATCTCTTACCACCTCCATGAGCCACACAGAAATTAGTACCTCCATGAACACTCTTGGAGCAAGGTTCACCTTCTTGAAACGCACATCTTTTACCTCCTCCATGTCCTTTACAGAACGGTGTGCTTCCCTCCGCGCCTTTGTTGCAACCCGGGTGTGTGCACCGCTTCCCACCACCGTGTGCTTTGCAGAACATAGTGCTCCCTTGCGCTCCTTTAGTGCATCCATCAGATTGGCATCGACGACCACCTCCATGAGAGATGCAGAGTCCAGAAAGCCCTTCAGCGCTTTTCGTGCAGTTCTCTCTTTGGCATCTCTTTCCTCCACCGTGCCTGATACAGAGCCCTGATCTTCCTCTAGCAGCTCGTGTACAATCTTCGTGGCTGCATCTTCTACCACCTCCATGAGCTATACAGAAGTCAGTACGGCCTTCAGCGCTTTTGGTGCATCCAAGAAACTCACATCGACGGCCACCTCCATGGGCTTTACAGTACACAGTTCGACCTTCAGCGCCCTTGTGGCAACCATGTTTCTGGCATCTACGTCCACCACCGTGTGAAATGCAACGACCTGACGCGCCTCTTGCCCCCTTTTGACATCCTTCTACTTGGCATAACTTGGAACTAGAAGAACTCTTATGCTGTGGCTTCAGCTGCTGAGATAAACCGGAAGTAAATGTACCCGAGCTTAATGGTGTTGTTGTTGCTGAGCTAGATGACAGGTCCTGAACGTGAGCAGCAGGAATGATTATCTTCTTAGGAGCATGAGCTAAGAAGGAGCTTGTTTCTTTTCTTGATAAAGGTTGTCCCCAGCCACATGATGTGGATCCTTCATTAGTTGCACGTAGCATGTCCGCAAGAGTTGGAAACTGGTTCACCTGCTGCTGGACCGCAGTGATCTCAGATTGACAAGACCCTCCTCCACCGGAGAGGCTCAACTCCAGATCAAATTTAGGGGAGATAGCCTGCAACCCTTTCATTTTCAGCTCAGCTGGTCTTTTGATGCTAGTCGGTTTCTCGTTGCCAAGGTGGAGGGTAAAGTCGAGGTCAAGATCCATGGAGGAGGCCTCCTCGGTTTCTTTGGGAGAAGATAAACTCATGGAAGCAGTAGCCGAACTCCCTTTGCTATCAGAAGAGCTTGGTGAGTAACCGAGTCTTAAGGAAAGTAAATGATCAGCTTCTTGACCCTTTGATCCATCAATGAGACTCCATTTCCTTTTGATACCCTTGGTGTTAGACAATGGAGAGGCAAGGGAATCAAGACGCAGAGTAGTATCTGCGGCAGCCTCTGCTACTTCAATTTGAAGGGGTCGGCCCAAGATGTTAAATGGAGTGGGTGAAGAATTAGCAGCGAAACCAGTGCTGTGGAATCTAGAATGCATGATTCACAACAACTTAAAGAAGAAGAAAACTTGTCTAAGAGAAAGACCAAAGCAAAGGAGGGAGAAGCCAACAGCACAAACTTCCGGTGTAAAGAGAGACTATGGCCTCAGCAGCAGTAGTAGTACTAAGAGTTAGAAAACCTTATAAGCATCTCCACCTCCGCTTACAAATCCTGAGGTATCGCAACGATCCATTTCTCTAATAAAAATGTTCAAAATCAAATCTGGCAGCTGCGATTCGAATACTTGCTCTCTAAACCCAAAGTTAATTAATTCTCAACCTCCACCAACGTATTCAGCTAACAGCCAAACATCCTTGAGCTTCATAACAAAAAAAAACGAGATAATGAACTAAGTGAATGCCAATTTCATTAACAAGAGTGAGAAATTCAAGTGGTGACCAAGTTAACACAAGACAAGAACTGAAAAAGTTAACACATGAGAAAACCACAATCGTTTAGGGGACAAAAAACATAGCATAAATTTAAGACTGTTACAGCATCAGTAAACGCCCCCAGAATGATATATCTTTTGGTCAAGAAACAGAAACCAGATTGAAAAGACAAGTGTTGTATTAATCGTTAGTTAACCTCAGCGTTTATGAGACTTTTTAAGCTAAAGCTGTGAAATGTTAATAAAAAGCTTATTTTTCAATGATATACACACCTAACAAATTATGGACTTTTAAGCTAAAGCTAAGTCGATTTGCTTATAGGAAAAGCATAACAGATTAGGTAGGAGAGATAAATCAAGCAAAATCAGAAACACCAAAAAGCCAGAGAGTACAAACTAATAAGTCGTTGGTTCTGGATTAAACCGACAGCAACAAACTAATAAGTCTAATCAGATCTCATGTGTTTTCTCGAACAAGGACAAGTCAATTACTCTTATTTTTTTTTCTTTTTTAATCAATCAAACAAACAAACACGCAAATAAAGTGACACAATTATGGATCCGATTGCGAAACAAAGAGGGATGAATTACCTGATTTTTTCTGTTTCTGATTTAACAGAATTTTTACGGCATCAAATGATTGTATCAAATCGCAGGCAAAATTCTCTTTCGCTCTCTCTCACTCTTATAACGAAATTACTTGAGCAATTCTTCTTCTTTTAGGGATTGTGAAATTTTTTAGGGATTAGCAGCGCCGGCGAGAGGTATTGGAAGAGGTATAAATAGGAGAACGAGAGAGAGCGCTTACAAACCAAGAAGTGGTGGTAACCATCGCATCTCAAACTAGAGGAGGAAATCAAAAGGTTAAGCCGACTGATGCCCACGCGTGTCATCCGATTCTTTAGCACGTGCCTTTTTCATTTTCGGTGTTTTGTCACATTGCATTATTTTGATTAGCTAAACAAATTAATCATAGAAATAAATCAATTATTGTTTCTAATCACAAGTAGATGTTAATAAGTACATTTAATTACCTGTCAAAACATGATTTGGTTGTGTCCTCCACTTTCCTCCCATTTGTCAATTTAATTGTTTTCAACAAATTTTTATATCTGTTCTGTTCTTTACTGAATTATTATTTTTTATTATTGTCTCTATGCTAGTTAGAATTGGTATAGTGTTATAAACTAGTTGACAAAAAAAAATGTTATAAACTAATTAAATATTTGGTATTTGGTATTCAGCAAGGGATGTGGAACGTATACTCATGCTTTTGGTCTTTGGGGTGCTTCAAGATGAAGAAATCATAATCAGTGTTTGGTTTAAATGTTATCAAGCTATTTAGAACAATGTCACATCTTTTTGTACAAATGTTTTTGAGTTGAATACAATTTAACATTAGTTAAAAAAAAGCATCTTAGTTGAAATAAAAAAATTGAAAACAAATATTTTCAATTTTAAACTGATGATAATGAATAAACTATTAAACAATGAGCAACTAGATGGATTCCTTTTTTCCGTATGGCGTACTCATGAGTTGGCGGTTGCTAGAGTCAGCGAGAACACAGTGCGCGGCGGCTGAAACAGCAGCGGCTCGTCACCGTTCAATTTGGTTCTGTTATTAACTTATTATGAGTTTGCGCCCCATTTGCCTTTTTGTGTGGGTCCCCTCACTCGGGAAGGTCTACGATCATAAATTTTGTATCTTTATTAGACAAAAATATATAGGGTTTATAGTGATTAAAACCTCCAACTATTTTTAGATCGGATAAAAAACCTCCAACTAAAATTTTATGTTTTTAAACCTCCAACTATTAAACCGTTAATGCCGTTAACCTTCCGTTATCAAAATCGTTTTTTCTTAACGGAGACCCGTTAAATCGAAACACCGCGTTTCATGTAATTTCAAAAACGACATAAGGTTCTTACTATCAAAATATATTTTAGTGATTTAAACCTCCAACTATTTTTAAATCGGATAGAAAACCCCCAACATTTTTAAACCCTCAACTATATTTTATATTTTTAAACCCTCAACTATTAAATTTTTAAACCATGTTGCTTTTAACCCTTAGTAAACAAAGTCATATTTTCTGAATGAGAAACCGTTAAATTGAAACACAGAGTTTCATGTTCATATAAACGATATAAAATGTTTAAACCCCCTATATCAATGGGCAATCACAATTTATACGTAAATAAAAAAAATTAAATTTCTTTTTCCTTTTCATCGAAGGTGAGGTAAGTCCAAAAATTCTATTGTTTCTAATTTTAGGCTATAATTGTATGGCACTTCTGACGATATATTTTAAGTGTAGAACATATTTACTTTGACTCCAGCTAATATTTAGCCAATCAGGTGAAAAAAATTTCAATTTGCGTTTTCGCTAGTTACTGTTGAAACATAGTAAATTGTTTCATTTTTCTCTCTTGGTTTATGCAGAGAAATATGTGTTGCGCTAGCTTTTGTATTGTTTTCCACTTTTTATTTTCTTTTGTCTTTTACCTATTTATTTTACTCTATTTTATCTTAATGGCTCATTGGCCAAACATTCCGAAATTAACGTTCAAAGAGCCATCATTTCGAGAGGCGTATTAGGGACAAAGGTCGCACATCGGTTGTTGGAAGAGATTATAAGGAATATATAAGATATATGGGCTACTTCACTTATTACCAATCGGTTTTAGATTGGAAGCCCATCTACCTTAATATGGTATCAGAGTCCATGATCCACAAAGCCCAACCCGATCCTTATCGATCCAGCCCAAATTCGGCTCATCGGTCTTTGCCCGAACATTCCGAGATTGACGCTAAAGAGCCATTATCTCGAGAGGGCGTATTAGGGACAAATGTCCCACATCAGAAGTTGCAAGAGATTATATCTAGTATATATGATAGATGGGCCACTCCACTTATCACCAATTGATTTTAGGTTGGAAGCACATCTACCTTAACAGTACGCAATCAACCCTAATTATTTCTCTCCTATTCATTTTTTTATTTGAGGATGAATTGTGATTATCATTGCTCATTGATATAGGGAGTTTAAACATTTCATGTTGTTTATATGATTACATGAAACTCTGTGTTTCAATTTAAGGTTTCCCGTTCAGAAAATATGACTTTGTTTACAGAGGGTTAAAAGCATTAAAGGTTTAATAGTTGAGGGTTTAAAAATATAAAAAAATTTGTTAGGGGTTTTCTATCTGATTTAAAAATAGTTGGAGGTTTAAATCACTAAAATATATATTGATAGTAAGAAAATTATGTCGTTTTTGAAATTACATGAAACGCGGTGTTCGATTTAACGGGTCTCCGTTAAGAAAAAACGATTTTGATAACGGAAGGTTAACGGCATTAACGGTTTGATAGTTGGAGGTTTAAAAACATAAAATTTTAGTTGGAGATTTTTTATCCGATTTAAAAATAGTTGGAGGTTTTAATCACTATAAACCCAAATATATACTACAAAGGGATATCGTTTCTTCGTTTGCTATCATTTGTCTGTGGTATGAAATTAAAGCAGGATCTACGTACGATAAAAGTGTGGTTCGGTTCCTGCAAACCTCATAGATTTTGTTACCTTTTTCAAGTTAAATGTATAGATTCTCAAATCTCACTAATTTTAATTATTTACTAAAACATTTTTTTCTTACGAAATTTGATTTTTTTGAAATGATAAATTTATTATCAACAATTCTTTTTAAAAAATTTATTCTTAAATAGAAACCAAAATATTATTTTTAAATAAGAAACCAAAATAAACTTAAGTACGATGAAACTTTTAAATCAAAGAATTCACTATACAGAACTCTAATATTTTCTAAATTTTTTTGCGAACAAACTTCTTACTTTTACAGTGACAGTGTTCATCTAACAAACATTTGATGACCTGAAGCCCTTTATCAAAAAAAAAAGAAAAAACATTTGATGACCCTTTTCAGATCTGCATGGGAGAGGGGCGTTGTATTCTGGTGTTAGAGCAGTGCGGTGTCTGTGCAACTCTGACGATTCTTGTTTTTGTATTCTAAATTCACACCATCAATATAAATTCTATACATGTCAACTCGCATCTCCACAACAACAAAAGCTCTTCAGATAATTTACCTGTTGACTTTTGGCTGTTGGAGTACACACCTTTTTTTTTCTGGGTGTACACAACATTGATGTTTATGTTTGTTGCTTTACCAATTCTAGCCCATAAATCATAATCGTTTTTTCACATAATTTTTATTAATGACTTTCAACATGCGTCATCTATGAAAATTAAGAAAAAAAAACAACAACATTCTTTTCCTCTACTACGTACACGATCATGCTCACCATTTCTATTTAGATTATATAAAACAATACATTGAACATTCGTAAGTGGTTGTTTAACATCCGGGATACATAAACAAAAAATATATTAATGCAAAATATTTGGTTTCAAATTTGAACTAAAGGTTTTGTACTTAACATATTTCAATTTGAAAAAATCTAGTAAATCTTACTCTAATAAATTTTTTAATAGACCAAAATGTAAATTTAGGAAAATAATTTTATTCAAATATAACTCATCGATTTCTAGAGATAAAAAACCTGATTTTTAATAATAAAAAAACAAGACCTTTGTTTTTATTCTTTATGGTAAAATAAACTTGCCTTCTAATTAAAGATAAAAAAAAATACACATACTATTCACAGGGTATTATAAATTAGATAGAAAAAGTCACAGTTTCAACATTTCGTCTACTTTAAAATTAAAAATACTATCTAAAATATTAAAATAAACATTGAGGAAATAATGTAGTGAAAGTTTTAATAAAATAGAAAACATATCCGACAAATATATTCCATTGGAAATTTTGTTGGAAAATTCTCAACAATTTTCATTTGGAAAGTTTCTGTTGGGAATTTGTAAGGAATTTTATATAGGAAACTCATCGGAATTCCTTGGAAAAAACTCGTTAAGGATACATTAGATTTTCTAAAAGTTCAAAAAATTTAAATTTAAAATTTTAAAGTTATATAAAATTTCAAAATACATCAAAATATAGATGACTAACAATATTTTTATATTAAAAAAAATTTAAAAAGAAAAATACCAACCTAAACTAAAAAATAAAAGTTGAAATTTAGTTTGTCGATTTTTCGTCAGAATTCTGCCTTAAATTTCCAACAGATTTGATTTTGTCGAAAATTTGGTCGTGGCTTCCTATGCTTTATTATTGGGAAATTATGCTCACATATTTAAACATAACTTATATAAAAATACATAACAAAATCATCTTAAATAATAAACAAAATCCACTCTAGAAGATAGATAACTTATGCGCAAAGACTCCACTCACACTCCATACATTTCCAGATCCTGCAGATTGGATGGGTGATACAGTTGACTACGTCTTAACGAATGCCTACATTAACTACCTCGGCTTCACACCGATCTCATGGACAGCAAATAAATAAGTTGACGTCATAAGATCATCAACTGAGGCAGAGTATATAGCCGCAAAATACAGTGTCTGAACTTTGTTGGGTACACTCTATACTCACTGAACTTGAAATACACTTACCAACAACTAGTGTCATGTACTGTGATAATGTTGCGGCAACATATTGAAAGTTTGTATGGATACCACAAAAGAGAAACTCAAACGAATCCAAGACAAGTTAACTTGCTTTATTAAGAATCACTTAAACAATCTTACAAGATCTGTTTAATCCGGTTTACTCAACGTCACAATTTGACTTGAGACGGACCAATTCTTAAACTACCCAAATGCACAGTGGTCGAGACAAACCTCACCACTTGCCAA